TGATGTTGAATAATATTGTATGTCAACTATAATTATATATACATATAGTCTCGGGACATGGAATAGAGAGTGGGAATGGAATCAATGGAATTGTAATAGATAAGCATGATATCGGGGGTGGGAGGGCAATACATGGGGGAGGGGGGTTGTTACTTTGAGGGTGAAAAGGGTAACTATTGCATTGTTCTGGACACCTGAAACTAATAATAATAATAATAAAAATTAGTAAAAAAAATGAAAGGAAATTCTCACAAATGCTATAATATGGATGAACCTTGAAGAATTGTGCTAAGTAACATAAGCCAGTCACAAAAGGGTAACTACTTATGATTTCACTTTTATGACATACCTAGAATTGTCAAATTTATAGACAAAAAGTTAAATGCTGGTTGCCAGTAGCTGAATTGAAGGAGGACTGGGAATTATCATTTAATGTGTATGGATTTTTAGTTTGAGGAGGTGAAAAAAGTTTTGGAGATGAATGATGGTGATATTTTCACAACAATCTGAATGTACTTAATGCCACTGAATTGTACACTTAATAATGGTAAAAATGGCAAATTTTATGTCATGAAGTTTTACCACACTAAGAACATAATCTGGCATAACGAAGAGGTGATCAATAATTACTTTGCTATCGGAAGAACTGATGTGGATAATCTCAGTGTCACATATATTTAGCTGTACTATATTATACATATGAGGCACTGCTTGACCTTATTTACATTTTGTATAATGCTAAAATATGTCTGCATCTCTTAATAACTCATCTCAGGAAAAGCATTTCAGATATACACTGAGTAGCAGGGAGCTGGTTACTTAAGATTAAATTTAAAAAATAAATAAAACTACCATAGAGCAATAATTAGGGAATTAGAAACAAAGTATTATCAGTTATGATTCAGTGGTATCCTTCTCAGAAGAAGAATATTGATCTCTCTTCCTTTAGTCTCTTCTTCCTACATGTATCCTATATATCACTGCTAGATCAATTTTCTCCAAATGACTATATCAGTTCCCCCAAGTTTAATTATCCCTTTGCCTACAAGATAAAATCTAGGCTATCAAACAATCTAGTCCTTAATTGTGTTTGAATTGTCCTTCCAAATCACATTTCAACATAAAGTCTCTGGTCTTGTCTACAAAGCTTTCTCCATTACTTTCATAGTTTTGGTTGTGCTTACTCCTACACCTGAAATCCCCTCCATTCTTTTTTATGCTTACCAAGTACAAGTTCTACACACTCCATGAATTTCTCTTGAGGACACTACCCCATACTGATTTCGGTCTTCTGAATTCTGATAGCCATACTGACTGTAGATTTGTCATTTGTTCGTAAGTTAATATCATTTACTATTATATTTGCATATATATTTTTTGTCTTGAAAGGGATGTGAATGGTATTACTAGAAAGTCATATGACTTCTTTTAACAAACATCATCCTTTATTCATCTAAATGAATCCCTGCCATTCAAAGAAGTTACCTTTAGGACATTAAATATTTAATGCAATAAAGTCATCATTCAGAACATTATTAACACCTTTCTTAGGAAGTTCTGTCTGTATATTTTGTGGCAGTTAGTCTTCATCCTTTGAGGATTGATTTGATTTTTGAAACAATAAAGTTAATTTGATTTGAGCTGATGAATATGTTGAGTGATAGCTTGGCATAAAATTTCTTGGGGCTGGCTGAGTGGCACGTTGGTTAAGAGCTGGCTTGGGATGCCAGCTCTGAGCAGCAGGGCCCTGATTTGGATCCCACATGGGAGCCAGTGACACTGCCCTCTGCAGCTAAGATGGTGAAGAACAGCTTGACCTGGAGCTGGGCTGCCGTGAGTCACCGGGCTATGGCATAGGCTGCAGCCCCTGCTGTAGTGGGCTGCCATAAGCTACCGTGTGTGGCTGGCAGCCGGTGTGGGCTGCCAAGAGCCATTGTGAGTGGCCGTCCAGTGGCCAGCGACCGATCTGCCTCAGCCGGGAAGAGTGCAATGATAATACCAACGTGGGCCAGTGAAGCAACGTCCTCCACAACTAGACTGAAGTACAAAACGACAGCAACTTGTCTGTTCCCCTTTCCCTGATTCCCCAGTGCTGTTCCCCTCCCCCCAATTCCTCAATTAAAAAAAATCAAAAAAATTTTCTTTATTATTAGATCCCTTTTGCCTCATTTTATGGGTGACTATCAAATAATAAAATAGCAAATATTTTTCTGTATTTCTTTAGATGGATCTGAAATGTATTAGGAGGAGAATTTCTTCAAAATATTTTGAGCATAAAGGTAAGTGTGCAATTTTACAAAGGACAGATGCTCTGAAAGGATTAACATTTATTTGAAGGACTAGTTTCTGGCAACCTAAAAACCTTTCTCATTTCTGAAAAAAATAACCAAATGCATACACACATAAATAAATAAAAACATTTTACCTTTCCACACAGTCATGAAGCCTGGAGCAATGGTTAGAAGTAGGGGCATCATGACCCCCCACAACATATATGAATCCATTGTATGTTGCAGCTGCGACACATCCACGTCTCTTGGACATTGGAGAACACAGACTCCACTTGTTAGTGTGTGGATCAAAGAATTCCATTGTTCTGAGGCAGGAACTTCCATCACGTCCACCAATAGCATATAGCCTAGGAAAAAAGATAGGGGTGTGTGTGTGTATGTGTGTGTGTGTGTGTGTGTAATTTCCAAATAATGCATAGAAAGAACCTTGCACAAAGCATTTCAAGTTTCTGACTATATATTCTACTCTTAGTATTTTGTAGCAGACAGCCTGAGTTTGTGAATGGATAGTTACCCGAAGGCACTTGATAAGGTTTACCCTACCCCAAACCTCCCTACTTCATCCTTTTGTGAAAGTTACTTTGACATAATAGATTAAAAGATCCCATGGAAAATTAAGTACACAGAAAGAAGGGAGATATCAAAAACATTTGGCAATATTTGTCAAGTATACCTGAATAAAAGCTGGAAATTTTTTTAAAAAGGTAAGATGTTTTCAAAGACCAACTCCAACAACCTCACAATTTAGCTAGTTTTAATTGCCTAGCATTAGCATCCCCATTGTTTTTATGAACTTTATTTAGTAAACAAAATACATTTGTCACTAGGAATACTTTAACTTAATGAACAACTAAGGGAATAGAATAAAACCTAGAAACCAGATTTTTTTTCTAGGAAGATATATTGGCTAGGACACGTCTCCCATAAACTTTAAAATACCAATTCTTTCAATGAGAAATATTTTTAATCTAATTTAAATTCAATTCTGGATCAATAAAGAAGATAAACATTTACTAAACCACATGTCTATAACTGCCATTTATGCTCAGTTGTGAACAATAGCAAGTCAGCAAAACAAAATTAAAATAGTCGAATTTGATTATTTCAACCTGTTCTCTAATATTCAGGAGATTGTTATCATTCAGGTCAGCTCAGAGATAATCAGATTTAGAAGTATTTTAAGCTCTAAGGCACTGTAAGGCTGGGTCTCCTCTAAACTATAGACATTTCCTACTTTTTTTTTTTTTTTGCATAAGGTACTAAAAAACATCTGTGTTGAAATTTCGGCTGAGCCCATTTATGTGATGAGGTATCAGCTTGATGCATAGTAAGTACAGACACACAAGGCTGTCTCCTGCCACATCCTGGTATCTGAATTTGTCATCACTCAAGTCCCTTCCATATGTTGGTTATTGTCTCCAAATGTCCCTTGTCAGAAAGCATACAATTAACTGAAAGGAATAACAAGTCAAGCTCTTAGCAACCTCTAACATCATTGGGTTTTAATGTATTAGTTTGCTCTTATAGGTACGTGATCAGGAAGAAAAAAACATTGAAAAAGACAGGACTAGAGGTAATTCTAGAGTTGGGAACACTGAACAGTCAGGAGAGTGTGTGGTAAGAACAAAAATGCTTGCCCTAGTACAAAGACAGGTCAAAGTTTCGATAAGTCAAGAATCAGTTATGATGTAAACAGTAGTAGCTTCTTATGGGCAAAACTAGAACTGGTTTATCTATAAAAGCACATCTCAAATTTAATGTGCACACAAGTCATTATGTTAAAATGCCCGTTCTGATTCAGGAGGTCTAGGGTGGGACTAGGAGTCAACATTTCTAAATAGATACTCAAGTAATGCTGATGCTCCTGGTCCCAGGACTATACTTGAATAGCAAGAGACTATAGAATATTTAATTAAATGTTCATTTTAGACAAGCATTTCCATCATAATAGAGGGTTCCAACAAAGTCCTTTTATTATTGATAACTAGGATGTCCTTATTGTTGGGAATGCTTATTGATTGATGGATCACATCACCAAGCAGCTGTAACACATGGTCTATGAACAAAGACCATGCATGTTTGGGTTTACTCACTTGTTGTTTAATGCAACAACAGCAACTGAGCTTCTAGCAGTTGACATACTGGCCACATAATTCCACTGACATGCCTGAGGGTCCCATCTTTCTACAGTATTTAGATAACTCCATCCATCATGACCACCAACAGCATACATTGGTCCTTCAAGTACGGCTACACCTAAAGGATAAATATCGCATGAGGGCTCTAGAAGGTATAACATATATAATATAATGGATATTGTTTCACTTTGCACGCAACTAACTGCTTAAAAATTTAGTTCTGTTTCTTAAATGATTTTGTGTGCACATAAATAATTTACTGATCTAAATATAAAGGTAAATAAAGTTTTAGTTTACTTAGTTTTAGTTAACCCTAGGAAATTTTCAGGTATAGTTACCTTGTCATGTTATCATTGTTGTAATATTGTACTAAAATCAAAGGAGGTAGTGGAACACACCATTTCTAGTGATGTCATAGAAAAGGGAGGCTGACTTTTTTTCTGGCATAATCTCAATGACTTTTTTTTTATGTAAGAGGTAAATGAAATATGACACTGGATCTTAGTTAAATCTTAGAATTGTAGGCTAACTGTGGTAGGTCTTTCTAATACCTGCTCTTTACTACAGGGATTTAAAAAAAGTTCCCATCAGATAATTACATAGACAGGGTTTTTGAGGTTTAATTACAAATTTGTTCTATTAGATACTATGAATATCTCCTTTCTAACTCCTTCTCATCTGCTCTGGGAATACACATAATTGGCTTCCCCCTTCCACCTTTTTCACCATCTTAATGAGCTTCTCAGGTATATCAGCATCACCTCTCCTACATCAATAGATTTAAAAACTTGCTCTGACTTCTCTGTCAGATATGTTTTCTAAGCTGTGTCTAGGAAACTCACTGGCACATTGAGCTGAATATAATTATACAGTTTACAATTTTACATAGACAATTCATCAGATAATTTGGGGCGAACAATACCAGACCTGGATCCGCCACTTTTTAGCTGTGTACAAGACAATTCTTTAAAAAAATACAAGAAAATTATTGTTTTTTTATTGAACAAACTCAAAACAAATGCATTGAGTCTAGCATGAATAAATATGTACTCTTGACAAATATCAAGGAGAATCAAAGTTCCCCACTGTTCCAGAAGTCTCCACTCCATCTTTCTTTAACTTTTTTGGAACCACTGGCGTCCATATAACTTAGAGTTGCTCTCAACCAAAATGTTTTGTTTTGTTTTGTTTTGTTTTGGTTTCTCCTAAATATCCCTGCCTTGGAGCTGCATCACAAAGCTTTTGCTGAAATACAGATTTGTCCCTTTAGGAAGGAACATGATTCATTTAACTAGAAACACAGCGTCTCTCCATTATCAAGTGTTCTTTCCTCTAAATTGAGCTTAGGAGAAAACTCCCTGTTGCTCTCTTATGGTCCTCAGTAATGTATTTCTTCGAAAGTTTTCATCCTTCCTAACATAGAACTCATTGTAACTACCAGTGGAAGAGGGCAGGATTAACAAATATGGCATCTGAAATAAAAAAAAGTTTCAAAGGTGTTTATCATTTGTTTAAGCTTTTCAGAATTTTTGAGAGATTTTGACTAAGGGTTTGGCTAAATCCCAATAATGTGCAGTGAATTTAATTTTTAAACAGCTCTCCTAACTATACATTCTTTAGAAACTATGTAACTTTAAGCTCTTACCTAAGCCGTGCCTATGTGTTGACAGGGGAGGCATCACAGTCCACACTTTGCTAACTGGGTTAAAACATTCTACAGTATTCAAAGTTTTTAAACCATCTCTTCCTCCCACGACAATGAGCTTATTATTAATAACTGCAACTCCAAACTGAAGCCTACGGCCACTCATGGTGCCAACAGGTAGCCAGATGTCGGTCCTGAGGTCATATTTTTCTATTGTAGTGGTACCTGTTAAAGGAATATTGAACAACAATAAAAACTGCTTGTATAAACTTTTTTAATTGGCATCACTCACATTATATTTATGCACCTATAATTTATAGAATAGAATCAGTGCTTGCAACTCAAGTAGTCCAGATGACTCTCCAACCTGGCAGACAAGCAAGGGTAACATTTTACCACTCCTGGATCCAAATGGAAGAATTGGAATAAAATAGTTTATTTAATGTGTGCGGTTTATACACTCGTAATGGCTTATTTGGCTATACTATGCTACTGGTAGTATTAACACGAGTATCAAACACCGTATTTTATGACAAAAATTATCTTGGAACCTATTACTGACTGTCTACACAGCCATTCAGGTTTTAATGACCTATGACCATTCAGTATATTAATTTATGCTCTTTTATTCAGTTTGGTGTGTGTGTGTCTATGTATGTTGATTTAAAATTCAAATGACTAAAAGAACAGGAATGAAAAGTCCTTTTAAATGGAACTTTGTTGTATAATTTTCATGATGGTAACACAAAGATTATAATTAAGAATAGAATTATTATTTATTTGAATTAAAAATATAATTCTGAGGTACTGTCTCCTTTATGTGTTAATAAAAGTTAATTTTCTATGCAATTACTGAAATATCAAGTTTACTTCCATAGTATGCTGTCACCATTGCTTAGTAAATGATCACTTCTGTAGGTGATGCTTTTTACCAGTCATTCATAATAGCTGCTATTTTTTAGTAAAATTTGATTTTGCACAACTGGGAAGTTTCTGACTTAAAATCGAGCTGGGAAATGAAAGAATTATTATTTACACTAAGACGTGTTTAGTTGTAACATGTTTAGGAAATTTCATCCCAATTTTACAAAGTCAACCATAGGAATAAAAAAAAAGGATGGTTTTTAGTTTTGCTCTTCTACTGGAAGATTTGTGGAGAAAATATAGTCCATTAGTTACAGTGGAAATATAGCTAACCTCTGGCATAGCCACTGGCCAATTATAAATCTGTGGTGTGGGGTAATATCAAGTCAAAATTTAGGCAGAGGGTACGAGTAAATACTATCTATGGTTGCTTCTGAAAGTTTTTCTGTGTATATTGGATTAGTGGAAACAGTGTTTGTTTCTTTTCTGTAATTTTAAATATTTTCTGGTGAATAGTGCACTGTAAGTATTTATGTCTCAAGAGTTTGAATTTTCACATTAAAAACTTGTGAATATACACATACTGATTTACTTTATTTCTTTAATCCCTGCATCTTTTACTGATAACATGGATTTGGCTAAATGACGATTTACAGATTAGCAATTGCTCTATTAACTACATAGACTGCTGAGAGGTCAAATAACACCACCTAGCAGAATATACTTTACACACTAAATATCTCTGGATGATACTTTTAAAAGTGGAATATCTACAAAAAAACTCACAGCTACGTTTACCCTGTCAACCAGTCAGTTTTCTCTGAATGTTTTTTACCTTTCCACTTCCTCATTCCAATCTTCCAAAATCTGTCTTCCATCGTCTCCTTCCTATTTTAACTTTTTATTTCAAACTCTTCATTAGTGGAATTTACCAAAGAGCCCACTTAAATTAGGAAATGAAGGCTATGCTGCACTAATTATTAAGATTATGAAAATGATAATTAATAGTAAAGTAATTAGTCAGGAAATTTTACAAAGCTACATTAGTCAGCTGTATATAGAAGATTTACACTGAAAGGATATAGAAGTCTGCTTTATGTCAGGGTAATCTTTTTCTTGGCATTAGATTAAATATAGTAGATACATTACTACATATCTCTTATTTGCATCTATGAACATATGTGACTAGAGGTTCTGTATCTTGAATTCTGAAGCTATCTTCAGGTCACTTGCCCATCTCCACTATTGCTCCAACTAATCAAAATGTAAGTCATCTAGCTAAGTTACTGTGACAGCTCTGTATTTATTTGATGAGAACACAGACTTTTTAAAACTGATCTCTCCTTAGGACACACTTTATAATTTTTCTGTGTAAATTGACCTTCTGCCTTGAAACATTGAAAATATTGTTTCTCAATTCATTTTTAAGTTCCTATTCATCCCTCATTTATGATTTATTTTAAGAGGGAACACAACCAACCAAACTCTGTAGTATTGTTGAAAACATGATAGTTCCTGTAGTTTGAATACATCTGATTCAGTAATTTCCTCCATCTATTTTTAAAATAATCTAAAAATGACTATATTAGCCTTTAATTTGTCCTGTTATACTGTTTCTCAGAATTCATTGTGTCTAATAAACAGAAGTTACTCAATAGCTTGTATGTACAAAAGCCCAAAGTTCACCATTTGACAATTTTTAAAGATTTACCTTGTGCTCACTCAAACAACTTTCTGATGATTCTTTTAATATATGTGGTAAGAGTTAGAGTTAATCCAAGCCACTTGTGTGATATCTATATTTAGCAACCAATTTCAAGTCAACTGTATGAGTCAGAGAGGAAATTAAAGACTGAGGAAGTACTGTATTTCCTAGACATCAAAAGGTGAATGTTCAAAAAGTATTTTAAAAAAAGATAAGTGAAACAACACATTGTAAGAAAAGGCATATAATATAGACATTATTTTTTATAGTTTTGTGAAATAATGTAAACTGGTACATTTTTTAAATGTAATACTAATTTATATAAATCCCCTTAATGTCTTTGCTTTGCTATACTTAGTTTTATTTTCTTTCTTTTAAAAAAATGTATTATGTTTATTGGGGTGGCATTAATTAGTAAAATTACACAGGTTTCAAGTGTACAATTCTATAATACATTGCCTACATATTGCATTGTGTGTTATCTTCTGAAGAACACTAGTTCTGTGAAGTTACTCTACAACTTTGGCAATAATTGCATTTACAAATTCTCATTTTATGGTTTTATGACTAATCGGCATATCTCCTGTATAGTCTTCCAATTTCAAATTGTACATAAAAATATAAAAAATGAATCGGTTCCAATAGCACAGAACTTTTGACTTTTGTATTGTTTTCTACAGATGTCAAATGACATTTATATGTGTGATTTGGCAAATTTCAAGTGGACTGGTTTTGTTTCCTACGCAGCCAACTCTTAATTAGAAAATCCTTGCCTCACTGTTTTGGCCTCATGGGACTACAGACAGAAATCAAGTGTAAAAAGGTAGAACTATAGAAAAATTGGTTCTAAGAAGTGTTCCGGGTAATGATGGCTTCAGAAACTGTTCCCTATTCTGTTTGATAAAATTCTTATGTAAAATCATTACTTTATCCCAGGTTTGAATTGCTGATGTTGTTATCAACACTTCAAGATTCTTTTTAACTGGCCTTTGAGCATCTAACAAGAAGTTGACAGCAAGGAGTTAGAGGCCACTCTTCTACCTCTGTCAAAAAACATATTTGGAGGACCTCGTCCCTTCCACTTATGATAAACCTTAAATAAGGTTTCCTTACAAATATATTGCAAAGAAACGACTCAAATTAAAAATTTTCTGTCATAAAAGTACTTATTAAGAGTTTAGCCAACACTAATTAATGGGTTATATCCCATATGGTAAGGAAAAAAAGGTTACAAATTTACATAAAGTACCCTGTTTATGAAAATTAGTTTTAGGTGCACACATTTAAATATGGCTTTAATACCACCCTCATTATTTGGAGGGTGTTCAGAACGTATGTCCTTTTTGGAATGATACTCCCTAATTTAATTAATTTTTCCCTGTTACCTTTTAGAGCATCCATGCCTCCCACAGCATAAAGAGCCCCCACAGTTGATTTTCTAGGCTTCGTCCGAGGGCTTTGCATCATGGGTCTTCTTTCAGGTAACAGATGATACTTCATAGCTTCTATCAGGAGTTTCTGACATTCAAGATTACCAGTAAACATAGGATTATTTTCAAGATCCGCCAGCAACTGAAAAGTAATGATGCCCGTTATATGAAGTGAAGAGCCCGCCGTTAGAAAGAACATATTTGTTGTTTATATAAATTTGGAGAAACCTCAAGCTACTTCAGATGTAGAACTATTATTTAATATTTTAATTTACTTAGTAACATATTTTTATGTTCACTTATGATTCAAAATGATTAAAAGCTTCATGGTATTAGCTAATGACCTATGCAGATTTATTGGGTTGTCAGAAAACTCATGACGCATTTTTGCAATGAAAACAAAAATACATCATGACTTTTCCGACAACCCAATATTTGACGTATTCATCTTTTGAATATATACACATATAATCTCAACAAGTAAAAGTGAAAGAGCACTTATAAAATGTGTTACTGAAAGCAGTCAAAGAGAATGGCTTTGTATGCAAAAAGCAAGCACCTCCCAGCTATGGCATGTAGCTAGAGACGCGGCTATGTTTTGGTGTTGTTAGGGGAGACAGGACAAACATGCCCAGTTAAAATAAAATCACCAATAGGGGGCTGAATCTTTATAATCACATCACTTCTGTAAAGTACTCTGAAATTAGGTCATTTTTATCTGTACATGTATATTTGTACATAAGTAAAGTACATGTGTTAGTAACTAGCCAATCCATCAGCAAGAGTAAATGATCAATCCTTTCTAACCATCATGGCTTAGCAGACAATAAGACACTAACTGAATGGGGTAAGATCTAGGTAAAGTATTTTTTCCTGAGATAAGAAGAATTTGTTTCAGAATTTTGTCATGGGTCATTTAGATTAATTCTTTTAAGTTTTTGGTCCACAGTATCATAGGGAGGAATAGCAACCTGGTTGTTGGAGCAGAGGTGCTAATCTCACTCCATAAAACTTTACTGCAGTTTCCTGTCCTTGACTGGTTAACACCAGCTCTGTTCTCACCCCACCTGTTATATTTGATTGATTACTGTTTTGAATTGGCTGCTGAGACCCCTGGCATTTCCTTAATGCATACACTGCTGAAAACAGGTTTGAAAGCTGAACTATGTAATTGTTTTCTCTTTCAAAAATATTCTTCAGAGATTTATCACCATTCTTTTCATATATTTAATTTCTAGAATACTTGTTTAAGGTCACTTTTAAAATTGCTATGGAAAGTGTACATTTTGTATGCCATTATCTACCACTATCATCATTAGGAAAAGTTCATACAGTCCACACTGGAGACATAAGGCACACTCAAGGGTGGGAGGCCAAGGCACTACTGGTTGTATGTTTGGGCTGGAAATTTGCCCTCATTCCCATCAAGTAAGAGAACTCCAAACTAAACGTTTTGCTGAAAGAATGCCATATAGAATTAAAGCAGTGTAAACTTAATGGTCACTGATCTATTACACCAGTGCATCTAAAATTTCTGTGTATCTAAAAATCATATGGAGAACTTGTTAAAAAACAAGATTCCTTGGGCCTCACCCTTAGAATTATGTGATAGGGGCCTGAGAAATTGTGTTTCTAACAAGCTCCCAGGCAATGCTGTGTTGCTGGTCCAGGGACATTTTGAGCAGCACTGCCTTAGAGAATCTGATAAATCATATAGACCCTCTCATGAGAATAACACATGCAAGAATATACACATTCACAGAAACATAAAATTTCTATAGACTCTGAAATTTGAGTTGAAAATTGCATATATATTTTAATGTTTCTCTTCTTGATGTTACTATTGCCTTGCCCTTTGGATAAATTTGCTACATGAGGGCAGTCAATATTCTTTCATTGCATATGGACAGATTCATAAGAGTAAATATATAGTTGTATGGGATTTAGTTAATGACTAAAAGTTGAAAATGTAGAGAAACCATCAGCAAATTAACATTCTATTTTTCAACGTTAACATTTAATTAGTAATTTTGTTGAAAATCAATTAATTTTAATGTTTATGAAACTGATTCACTAAGTCCAGATAAGGTCCCTTCTTCCAAAGTGGATGATGATTGAAGACTTAGCCATAGGGTATTGGTCAATTTGCTACAGAGAAACAATTGTTGTTATTACCAATGGTAAAATTATGGAGAGGCTGCACTCCAACCTCACTAAACTTCACATACTAAAATTCAGCATAAGGTAGGTCCATCCTGAATCCTATCCAAGAGTGTCTGTTTTTAGAATCATTTTTACTATAATCCTTTAGCATGCATGATGGGGGTGCCATTACAATGATGCTTTATTGCATCTGAAACTATTTGGTTGTTTGAAAAGTCATGACGCATTTTTGCAACGAAAAACATAGAAAAAGTGTGTCAGGACTTTTCCAAAAACCCAATATTATAATATGCTTTCAATCATAGTAGCTGATTACCCATATTAGTAGGCATTATCCAGAATCTAACTACTTTCTAGAGTCTTCTCTGGGATGCTCTTGTACTGATTATTATCACTTTGCCTAGAAGGTGGGCAGGGAAAGAAAAAAAAATAACCTAGTCAGTTTCCTGCTTGTTGCAAGTGCTGTTTGAGGAAACTGAAACTAATGAGTATGCTAAAGTTTAGGGATTATCTGTGGATTTCTTTTATTAATCCTTGTTTCCTCTCACTTCATCATTAATACTACTAATTGAAGGCTGGACATAGCCTTCTGCAAAACAAATCCTGTACACTTCAATTACTGGAAATCCTCTGAATAAAATAAAATGTGACAAAATAAGGAATGGATTAATGCCTGGTGATAGCTTGAACTGTACTTTACATGACCTGAGGAAATTTCCATACCTGTGTTGGAAGTAACGGTAGCCTAATGTAAGAAAGCAGCTTCGCTAGGCCTTGCTGCCTGGCCTTCACATCATGCTCCACCCACTTCATTAGAGCATGGAAAATGGTTTCTTCATCAGGCACATTAATGTCATCACTGCACAGAAGTTCTGAAAGTTGATTAACTGGAAGCAGGAGGAATTCTTCGTTCTTTATTACCTCGAAGAAGTAGTCCTAGAAAAAAAAAAGGTTTTCTACTGTAACTTTGTACTTTAGAAACTTCTTACCAAAAGAAGCATATCAAAGCATTTCACTGTCAAACTTCAGAAAATGCCAGAAAGATAAATATATGCATTTGTAACAAATAGGTGCTATTGCTGCCCATGACATGGGGCATGAGGGAGCCTTCTGAAGCTGAGGAGCAAAATGCTTATACTGGGGATTTATTTAAGGACACAAGGGAAAGGCCTTAACTGTTTCACAGTTCATATGGATAGTGTTCAGGTTGATATGGGTGCCCTTCTCTCTCAGCTGTTGTAGGTGACAACAGCTTATGACTCCAGAACTGACAGATGTCGAGTTGGTCTTTAGCCAAAAACCTTAAGAGAAAGGCTGAAAATTTTCAAGTTTTTTTTTTAATTGACATCTGCTTCTTGCTTTATTTAATTTTTTCACTTTCAAGATAAGGTCAAAATCAAAACCTCTGAACTTATACTTTTCAACATGAAACAATTAAATAGCTATAATTCTAAAGTAGTTTCAGTAAAGCAACTATTATTCTTATGAACATTAATGGACTATACTGAAATAAGGTAAAATATAAATATCTGATTTTGTGCTGAATTTGAAGTGTTGCCAGTGAAATCGATTACAGATGTTTACTCTGAAAGAAGCTACTGTGAAGACTGCAAACTCGAATACTAATGATGGTGATTCAAAATTAAATGTATGGAATACCTAGAAAATAGGTTGAATTTGAACCTGAGGGTGGTTTTATAATATTCAATTCCAATGATTTTTTTAAAGACATAGAAGGCTATTGTTTTAATAATATAAATCAGGAGTTTTAAAATCATCTCTAGTGCTTTCAACTGTCATATGACCATAAACCAAAGACCCAAATAATTCAAAATGATCAGATCGTATTTAGGCAACAATTCTCATGTATCAGTACTTTTAATGTTGTGTACATAAAATTAACAGTTAAAAGATGACTATAAACAAGATGTAGCCCTCTATTTTCATGGGCAGCACACCGCATTACAGTAAACTGAATTTATATTCTACCATTAAGTGTGGTTCTCCCATTAGTTCACTTTGTGACAGGTCATTAAGAATATCTTAAAATCTAATAGTCTCACCATTACCCCTCAAAATATCCAGTGAAAGTTTGAGTTGGGAGAAACGGAAGATGCTGAACCTGCTGCATTGCCTTGAATTCCACTTGCAATTTTTGGGGAGCAAATAAACCCTGAATGTTTCTCAGTGTGGAAAAATTCATTTAATGTTTGTGGTATGGGAATTTTTTTCCTGATAATTCAAGAGGATGACTGGGCAAAAGTTCATTTTTCACACAAGAAAAATCTTTTCAAAGGAGAGCATGATTTTCAATGGGTCCACTGGCTGAAAGTTCAGTAAGTAGAATACTGTTCTTTAGCTGAGAGCCAAGTCCTCTGGCATTCATTTTCAACTCGCTCTGTGAACAGCCTCTCAGACCCATTACCAAGGTGGAGGTTTCTTGAAGGCTTGGGAGAGATATCTCTTGCTGTACATTTAGGAGACAAATGCTGAATTTCTTTGAGATGAGATAAAACATAGATGACAAACTATTTTCTATTATGGAACAGGATGTTCTTCTACTAATTTATAATAATCTATAGATTCAGAATACTCTTAAAGGGTTTCCCATGGGAGGGATGGGGTTTTCTTTCCATTTTTATATAATTATATCTCAATTCTCCCTTCTGTCATTCTGTCGTCTTGTATTTTGTCAAGTATCAAATTTCAGGCAGCTGTGTTTTATTTTTTTCATCAAAACACTACTATATTTTTTTCAATTTGTGGTATATATTTTTCTTTGACAACATAATGATCATTTACAACATTTTTCATAATAAAGATCTCAAGTTTTAAATGCAATGAAATATACTTCTCAAATTAAGATAAACGTGTATTTGGTAATTTACGTTGCACAATAAATAAATATTCTGGAAGCAGCTCAAGACAGCTTTTGAGTAACTGGGGGAACTGAATAAGTGATATCATTTTTTCAACTCTGCTCTGAGTTTAGTCATTGTGGAACTGTGCCTAATAATGAAGTTATCCATATAACAATCATCAACTTAGATAAACCCATGAAGAAGCTCTAATATCATAAATTCCAAATTAACTTGCCTATTTATACAAAGTATCCTCTTATAACTAAGACAAGCAGTTATCAGAGAGCTGAAGTTCTTATTGTAGCAGATGACAGTGGTTGAAAAGCCCCTAACCAATACCAAAATAATGGAGCTAGTACTATAATTAATAACACACTACACATGTACAGCACTCCACACTTTAAGGATTTCTTTCACAAGCATCAAGTAAGTCATCACCAATCTGGTTTTGGGGAAGTGGAATTATTCTGATAAGAATGCAATATATAAGTGACGGATTATAGAATTGTACACTTGAAACTGATATAATTTTATGAACCAATGTTACCCCAATAAATTTAATAAAAATAGAATAAATTTAAAAAAAGAAAACAAGCTATGTGAATTGTTTGATTTCCTGTGTAATAAATGGCAAAGTATAGGCATACCTTGAAGATACTGAGGGTTCAATCCCAGACCACCACAATAAAGCAAATATCACAGTAAAGCAAGCCACACAATTTTTTTTGGTTTCCCAGCGCATATAGTAGTGCATATGGTAAAACATGCTGTAGTCTAGCTACACAGATTTGGGTCCAAGATGGCGGATTAGGTAAACACTATGCCTACTGCATCCTGGGATCACACCAAAATTACAGATAAATTATAGAACAATCACCCTCAAGAATCATCTGAATAATACCTGAACGGAAACCCTATAACAAAGTATATAAACAAGAGGCCACATTGAGACTATTAGGAGGGGTGGAGTCGTGAAACGGGCTGATCCCAAACCACAGGTAGTGGGTGAACACTGTCAGAGACTCCTTGGTGGCGGAGTCCCACCAGAGGAGGGAGGGGTTCCAGCCCCACACCGAGCTCCCCAGCCCAGGGGTCCTGTGCTGGGAAGAGGAGTTCCCACATCATCTGTCAGTGAAAATCAGCGAGGCCTCCATCTGCCCATCCTGATGAGATGGAAGGAGCTGCAAACCCAGACGACCTACTAAAGGGCCTGCACACAGACTCACTCACTTGCCAATACTCACTTGGTCTCCAGTGGAGGGGCAGCAACTCAAGAGGTGCCAGAGACATACAGGAAAAGACTGAGTTTTGTGGCTTCAGAGCAAGGGCTGGAGGGAGAGCAGCCATTATTCCTATGTGGAGACTGCCTCACATGTAGCCTACAGGAGGGCACCATCTTTTCTATGTTGAACCCTCCCTCAAAGGGCCAAACCTGAGACTTAACTGGTCTGGTAAAATCCGTGCGTGTGTACCACCTTGGTGATGCTCTGGGTCCCCGCTCCACACAGCTAGTACTACATCACCCAGGGCACTGTCAACTACTGAGAAGACAGTCCCACCCCACAAGCTGTGGAAACCTTATACAGCAGAGGATGACCCATGGTGGCCTGGGAATATTTGTTGTACACCAGTGAGCCACAACCTGTTTCACAGCCTCTGTTGGGCTGTTCTTGAGGTCCTGCAGGCCTAAGGTAAGCAGTGGCTACCTGCAGTGTTCTCAGGGGGTTTTTGCAAAGGGGTCATGGGCCCAGAACCAGTGCAGGGATCAAAACTTCATTAACACTATAAAAACCACTGCCCACACCCTTTAGCTCCCTGAAATCCTGCCCCACCCACCTAGAGCTGCATTGCCAGAGCACTCTCAGAGGCTGCACAGGCCACCATTACCCTGATTCCAAAACCAAAAACATTACAAATAAAGAAAACTATAGGTGGATATTCCTAATGAGCATTGGCGCAAAAATCCTCAATAAAATATTAGCAAACCAAATTCAGCAATACATTTAAGCAATCATACACCACAATCAAGTGGGATTCCTTCCTGCTATGCAAGTTTGGTTCAGTATCTGCAAATCAATTAATGTGTTATACCACAGAAACAAAATAAGATTCATATGGTCTTATCAATAGATGCAGAAAAAGCATTTTACGAAATCCAGCATCCATTTATCATAAAAACTCTCAGCAAAGTGGGAATAGAGGGAACATACGTCAACATAATAAAGGCCATATATGACAAACCCATGGCTAATATCATACTTAATGAGGGAAAGCTAAAACATTCTCCTTAAGATCTGCTCAATGGGCGGCCGGATAGCACAGTTGATTAACGCATGAGCTCTGAACAACAGGGTCGCCGGTTCGATTCCCACATGGGCCAGTAGGCTGCACCCTCTACAGCTAAGATTGTGAACAACAGCTTGACCTGCAGCTGGGCTGCCATGAGCTGCCATGAACTGCTGTGAGCGGTTGGCCGGCCAGCGGCCGACTGCCTCAGTTAGGTAGAGTGCAATGATCATAATATTAACATGGGCCAGTGAGCTGTGTCCTCCACAACTAGACTGAGAACAAAGACTTGACTCAAAGGTGGGGGTGGAGGGGGGAGAGGTAAGGGAGGAGGGGGGAGAAAAAGATCTGACTGAGACAAGGATGTCCACTTTCACCCCTTTTATTCAACATAGTTCTGGAAGTTCTAGCCACAGCAATCAGAAAAGAAAAAGAAATAAAAGGTATCCAAATGGGAAAGGAAGAAGTAAAAATGTCATTATGTACAGATAACATGATAGTATATATAGAGAACCCAAAAGATGACACCAAAAAACTATTAGAACTGATAAATACATTTAGCATGTCACAGAAATTAATATTCAGAAATTGGTTGCATTTTTATACACCAATAATGAGCTATCAGAAAGAGAAATTAAGAAAACAATTCCATTTACAATTGCATCAAAAGTCAAATAAAATACTTAGGAATAAATTTAACCGAGGAAGTAAAAGATCTGTACTCAGGAAATCATAAGACATTGAAGATAGAAATTAAAGAAGATACACAAAAAAATTGAAACATGTACC